CAGAAAATATGAAATTTTTTTATTAAGTTTTAACTTAGTATAAGTTCCTTTGACCCCTATTGAAACAAAATTGCAATTATTTTGCTCACACTGGTTATCAAAACCTGAATTAGCCTGAAAATTAAGTTAAATTTAAGATATGTAACAAAATAAATAACAATACGTCAACACTGTACTTACAATTCCAATTTCATGTCAATCTCGCTAACCTTGAAGCAATGGTCATTTAGTGAAAAGTCTGGCTGACTTCAAAAATACATCTCCATTTCAAAAACCAAACGTCATTTGGTTGGTTAAGCCAAGAGGTGGGTGTGGGGACAAAACTGTATGTCCAAGTCACTCTGCTTCTGAAATGTCAACATGACCATCCCACTCCCAAACTCCTGAGAATGGCGACTTTGTGTTTCAGATAAATAAGACAGAAAAAGGAAATCAGAATGAAAGACAAAAAACATTACTTTTTTTGCTTTCCTCCCATGCCCCCCTTTTTTTTCCTCTTCACCTCGCAAATAAAGCCTCATTAGTTGCCAAAAGATCCAAAGTCATCCAGATTATTCATGACTTTTTTTACTTTCATATTCAGGTTTTGATGGTACTTTCAAACAACCCTCATGAATATATTTAAGCTGATATCATACTCTTCCCTCATTTTACCACAGATTGTTATGCTATCTACATTAGCGAAGTCCTTCGGAAGAGATAAGATTATTTATTTTCCTCTGAAAGCAAGGCTCTGATGGTAATGCCAAAAGCTAATCAACAGAACTGATATAGGTGACCATCAGCTTTAAAGGCAATATGCTTTTTCTTGGCATCCTTAATCAGTATTTAGTGGTACACACTCTTCAAGTCCAGTGTACTGAAGTAGCGATACTTTGCCACTTCAAGTACTACATCATCTATTTGAGGAAGGGGGAATGCATCCAATAATGTATACCAATTTATTGTTTGTGAGTAGTCTACCACAATGTTTATGATTAGCTCCTGAAGCTCCAGAACTTTAGCTCTTCAACGGGAGTTGCTTGGTTCTATGATTCCTTTTCGTAACAATCTCTTTGTTTCCAAAGCAATGAAGATTTTATCAGTAACTGAAAAGCACTGGGATTTTACATCTATGGGCTTATAGTTGGCTGAAAGGTTGGTAAACAAGGAAGGAGGTTGAATACCTATGCCAACAAGACCACACGCAGTCAATTCAGGTAAGGATCCTCCAAATGAGATGGAAATAAAAGAGTGTTATCGTAAGAATACATGGCCCAATAAAAGTTACGTAAAAAGTCCAGTTTCACATTAGGGTAAGTCTTGTTACCCACCAGTAGATTGACTGAGCAAGTGCCTCTAATTTTAGAAGAGAGTGATAAAGAATCCATGTTAGCAATTCCAGCCATAGGAGAGACAGGAAGCCCAAGCTGTTGTACAACATGGTGATTTATGAAGTTTTCAGTACTCCCCATATATACCAAGTCATTGCCTGGAATATTATTAATCCTAGTATGCATAATTACCTGCAATAAATGTGTGGCCTGGGTAATTGAAGCCATTCTTAGGGCGGCTGTCAGTTGGTTAGATTTATACACTTTAGTATAGTGATCATTTTTACTACATCTATTAGAGATAGCATTCCTCACAGGACACTTAGCTATAAGTTATATTTGAGTCCACAGATGTAGCAGAACTTGCTACTAACAGCTACAACATGGTCGCTCTCATTTAAAGAATGGTCATTAATAGAAGCATTTACAGTGGCCAGTTCCCTGTAGGATAAGGATTGTTTGGCAGTACTTTCTAGGGTCACAACCTGGTTGTACACGGTGTTTAAGTCTAGTGACCTATTCTTGAGGAGTCTTGTTTGTAAATGAATAAACAGTAGTCTGTTTATACTCATCACACTTAATCTCTGCTGTCACAGGTTTAAATCCACATTCTTTGCTAATCAGACAGAGAGCTTGTAACAACTGATCCAGACTCTCATCAGTTTGCTGTAGCTGCTACACTGAACCAAGCAGGCTGACCAGTTGACTTCTTTTTGAGGACCCTCACTTGTACCAAGCATAAACACTGCTGTTGAAAAAGAATCTTGTACTGTCATAGAAGCAGTACTAAAACGGTCTCACCTCTTAACTGGGAGTTGTTTTACTATCCTTACTGACCCGCAAGCTGTAAACTATATGTTTAATTCAAAAGGATTTGTTAAAATAAAGAACATTAAAATCCAATGTTGACAAATGAAATTATGACATCATATACTGACCTGGCAAAAACAACGTTTCTGCTGATGTACTCCCTTGTGCTAATTGTGGTGATAAGAAATTGAGTGACCTATATGTTTACTTTTGTCACCTTGAAAACAACAAGGTTTGCCCATTTCATCAAAATAAGAAATTTGTCATACTCCATTGAAGAAATACGGAAAGTATGTTGACTGTGTTCGCTTGAAGCCTAGATTTTATTCTTCAGATTCTACCACGTGCATTAAAAGCAACTCAAGCTATGGAGTGACTTCAAAGGGCCACTTCCCTCCAAATCTAGGAATTATTATCTGCTAACTATTGTGGACGAATATTACCATTTCTCTTTTGCCTGTCTGTATTTGACCACTGGCTTGGTTATGAAATGTCTGAACCAGATTTTCACAATGTTTGGAACCCTTTCTTGCATCCATTTGCATCATGGACTCTCATTTCAATTTAGAAATGAAAGATTACCTGGTTAACCTTGGCATTGCAACTTGCCGGACAACTCCCTATAATCTGCAAGGAAATGGACAATGTGAGTGATATAACAAGGTAATATGGAAAGCTATTACCCTGTCATTAGCTTCCAGAAATCTTGGGACCTCACAGTGGGAAATGATATTACTTGAAGTACTGCATTCAATCAGGTCACTGCTGTGTACTGCCACTAATGCCACTCCCCATGAGAGACTATTACAATACCAATGCTAGTCCCCCAGTGGACACTCCTTACCCACTTGGCTCACCATCCCTGGCCCTGTCTTATTGTGCCACCATATCCATAATAGTAAGCATGACCCACTGGTGGATGAAGCAGATTTAATTGAGCCTAATCCTCAGTACATTCACGTACAATTCGCTGACGGATGAAAAGCAAACATCTCTGTTTACGACTTACCTCTTGTCAGGGAAGATCAGCTCCAAAACCTTTCAACTGAAGTGAATTTAAATTCAGGTTCTAAGGAACTCCTACCTCCTGTCTCTGAGTAACCTGGTGGTTTGGTGCCTGCATCACCAGCTAAGTCTGCGATTGAAACTAGTTTCTTTTCACCTTCTCCTGTGCCCCCAAAGTCTAGAGAGACCCTGGACCAGTGCAGCAGTCTACTCAAGAATGTCAAAAGCCTCTCTGTTACATGGGCTATGGAACATAAAAAATATATATGTTTATAAAATATAGGAGGGGAGAATAAACTATTTAAACTCCCTATTTCATATCTGATGGACTGTTCCACTTTGGTATATTTCTTTTAACTTTCTATATTCTTTGTTAGGTGAATAAAGCCTTTAATAAGGTCACTAGTCTCTTGTGACTTTACTACAATCTGCTTTTCCTTTGTGAACAAGTTCAGTATTTTTACAAGGCCAAATTTTTACCTATGTCAGTTGCCATTTTGCCAGACTGGTGTTCAGATGCTATCTGTAACAAGGTAAAAAATGGAAAGGTTTCAACTGCTATTACCACAATTTTTACCCATTCAGATGCCATTTTGCCATATTGACCTGGTCACATACTGGAAAAAGACTTGTATGTGGGTGGATTGTAATGACCACTTGTATGTTTATTGACCAATTAGAAGTTGAGGTTTTCTGAAAATATGTATGAAGCTGAATAAGCTTTGTGATTCGCTTTTTGCATAGATTTGCACAAAAATTGAGATTGATAAAAAAGTGGTAGCGGGATGCTAAATACACGTGTGTGTGTGTTTGTGTGTGAGATAGTGTCTTTCCATAAGGGACAGATGTAATCTCTCTAACACTACATCTTGTGTGTGAGAGAAGGCAAAAGAGGGAGAATTGAAAAATGTGTCCAAGTATTTATAATGTTTTATGTCACATGATAGGCTCAAACACATAGACAGATTTTGGCAATAAATTAATTTTAATCATGCAGATGTAGACAAAAGCATGATATTGGCATTAATTGACCAATCAGGAGTCAGAGAAATATCAAGACTCTGTGAGCCACTTTGGTGTTTAGTTTGTACAAAAATTGACGTTGAATGAAAGTCGTAGCAGAACGCTAAAAGTGCTGTGATCTTTGTTCATCAATGAATATATTTTTTTTTTTAATACCAGTTATATATTTCATGGATTTTTCTAATGTTGAAAAGCTCTTAATCTAATGTGATAAATATTTGTTGGAAGCATCAAATTTAACACCAGGCCTAATTTATAGATTAAGTAGTGAAAAAGAAAATTACAAGTAATGACTTTGGAGAATAATCACCACATCAGAGTTCCATTACTGAATAAATATAGCATTAATAGATGGGAATGTATTTACATACATTAGTTTTCACTATAGTAAAAATGGTTTAAATGATTTCAAATGCCAAATATTTCCATAGTATTTGAAACCATTTTTATGCTTTTAAAAATAAATATTTATTTTTTCAAAATAAATATTGTTATAAAATAATTTTAAAAAGTTTTTGTCATCAACGACCTATCTGTAAATAATTTTTATCTTAATTATCTATTAAATAAGTATCTTCATCTTAATTATCTAATTAAAAGACAATCACTTTTTATTATTTTGATTTTTCTTTTCAACAGAGCAAAATGATGGCCAGAAAGTGTAATCAAAGGAACATACCAAGTTATACACCGCTAATTCGGTGATAAATTAATTTTTTACTTATTGTTTTTCTGTTCTTTAGAACTATTAGTAATTTTAAAGTTATTTAATTTATATCGACCATCTTTTAAGCTTCTTCGCCAATTAATGAAAATAAAATTACTTATGATTTATTTCTTTTTAAACAGAATCTTTGTTTTTATTATATCCGGAACATTTTCAACGAGAAACGAATCTCGTTTTCACTACTAATGGCGGAAAGGAGACGCTGTTTCGAGAATGCACATGCTGTCGACAATTTAAAAATGAATATTCAATAAATCATTATTTGTTGCACTTGATAAACAATCAGTGAGTATATATATATATATATATATATGTGTGTGTGTGTGTGTATTTATTTGATTTCGATTAACTTTATACATTGTTTTTACCACAAAATAATTTTGGAATGTCCATTCATTGTGGTTAGCTTTCTTTCCTAACAAAAAGTTAATTTTGGTGATAAGCATTGTTTGATATTTTCGTATTTTTTTATTTACTGTAAAAAGTAATACAGCAATAACTTTATTTTATTTATCTACTTACCATTATTCTTAAAAAAAACTATTGGTCATTTTTTTTTAAATTTTTAATGTTCTGAGATTAAATGTTTTAATTCTTAACATTTGGGTTTTATTTTTTTTTTTACATATATTTTTCTGAGTTTGTCTATATTTCTGAGATGAGGTATTATGTACAGTATTTACATTAGTCGGACTATTGTCCTCATCTTTTTGTCGCCATATTTGTCACAACGTTTCGGCCGTTGTACGCTCCGGCCTTCTTTAGGTGGTTGGAATTTTGAACTGAACCCTTTTATTTCGATCGCTGGGGTAGACTGTTCTAATTCCACGTGCCATGTTTGATGGATGTCAGTTACAGGTATCTCCTGCTAATTTTCCCTCTGAAAGTTCTCCACTGCCTTAACCAGGAATTGAACTCACCTTCTTAAACATTTCAACTGGTAAATGTTTCTGGTTTCCTGAAGTGCACGTTGCATCCGGTGGTCTTCAGAAGTCAATTAAGTATTTTTCTACTCTTTCCTCTCAACTAGAACATATCTATCATTATCTAACGAAGTTACGAGCCAAGACTGCTGTGATTTGTTATTTTTTTCCTAACGTTTAAAAAAAGATGTAGCTTGAAAGCTTTTTTTTTTTTTTTTAAAAAAAATTGAACTTTCACCTTGATGTCCTGCTCCACTAATTTTTGACATCTTGAAATTAAGGAAAAATCGTCAGCAATCCTAAATTGATCGTAATTTTAATCTAAACATAAAGATTTATTTGTGTCTGTAGTGTACAAACAAAAAACTGCCAAAAGGATGGTTTCCCATGACACCGCTATTATTTTAACTACCTACACTTCTCAGCAATGTTTTATCCTTTTAAAAAGCGGTGATTAAAAATTAAAATTTTAATAAAACGTAAAAAACATATCAAAGTAACTTTTAAATTCATACACTTTCTTTGTTCTTGAGAATTGACAACAAAAATTGTAGTGGGTGGCAAAACATTGGCTTGCTTGCCAAACGATTCGAACTTTAAAATGATAAATAAATAGCAAACAAGGATTTCTTTAGTTGATTCGTATAATTTAGTAAATGATAAAAAATTGTTTCCATATTTATTTCTTTATAAATTGGTAAATAATAAATATTACATTAGTTTTTAGAAAGTTGTAAATATAAAATTATTATAAATAAACAACCTAATAAATAAATAGTGTTTAATATTCTTGTAAAAATTCTCAAGAACAAAAAAAAAATGTATAAATTATAAAATTTATTTTCATCAGATGTTTAAGTTTAACTACAGTTACTACAACAATTAATTAATCATCGCTTTTTAAAACAAACATTGCTAAGGATTGAAGGTAGTTAAAATAATGGTGTCAAGAGAAAAACCGTCCATTTGATACGCCAATTTTTGCAGTAACAAATGTTAAAGATTGAAAGATATTTTAATTCCAAGAGTTTCTTTACTCCTAATTTATTTACTATTTCAGAACTTTAGATAAAATTTAGAAACTTAGTAGTTATTTCCCTTTTATGAAAATTGTAACTAAAAATGTCAAATTTAAACTCTATTAAAAATGAATAGAAATGACCTAAAGGTAAATACTTTTAATAATAATCCACACTTCCCCAAAATTTTTGCAGACACATTGAAAGTATGGAATATCCCAAAAATTCAGTGTGTGGAACCAATGCATTAGAAATGAACAGCCATTGTTCTTTTAACCCAAGATATAAACCGATCACTTCTAAAGTAAAATATTTAAAAAAAAAAAAAAAATGAGGACCGCCAAAGCAAAGAGTGGCACACAGTTTTCAAAGTAGTAGCACAAAGACTACAATTTGATGTTTATAAATTTTAAATGTATATTGAATTCAAACAGAATCATGTAAAAAGGATATTCAAAAGGAAACTGGCTTACACAATTTTAGTATATTGTGTACCATTGATATAATTCTCTAGCTTGTGATGAAATATTAAATAGAAAAATAAACCTTTATAATACAACCAATACTTTAGTCATACACAAATTCTTCACATATACATGACACAAATCATTTGCAAAGTACAATTACTTAAAAAAACGAATTGAAACGTGAGCACTTAAATCATTTAAAGGAAATGTGTATATATATATATATATATATATATATATATATATATATTTGTGTGTGTGTCAAGTCATTTAAAGTGACATTGGAATACAAATTTAAAGGTTCATACTGGTGGTGGGGTGAAAACTGTAAACAAGAGAATCATACTTCTCTGATGGCGAATCTCAATTATGAGGCAGATACATTAAAAAAAAATATGAAGTAGTTTTCTAAAATTAGGAATTGTTAGCAGGTAGGAATTTTTTAACATTTAACCTCTGTTACAATGTTCAGGGGAGCACAAATGTTTTGTCAAGCTAAAAACCTCCAAAAAGAGAATTGTTTTCTTGATTTTCTTTTTCTCCTTATCCTCTTCTTCCTTATCATTTGATGTTACAACTATAGGGTCAGATAAACACTCGTTGTTTATGAACATTCACTCCAAGACTTTTTTTCTTTAGTATTTCAATCAATGTCTTTATTTTTAGATTAACAGACTAATCAGAGTCCCAGAAATATTAGGATTTGAGACATCAATTTGGATCCTTAGCAATTCAAATAATAAGGTGATATTTATTTTTTATATATCAATTCACAAATCAGTTCCCAAGAAATCTCAGTATTTCCAACATTGATTTGGACCTTCCTAGTGCAAAAATTTCAGACCTCATAAACTCACATAAATAAATATTTTTATACTCCATAAAAAATATATACTGAAATAATAAAAATGTATTGATGACTTGAGATTTTCTAAAAGGAGGTAAGAGATTGAGAAGAAATTTTGAAAATATAATAAACTTTGTTAATTATAACTAAGAGTTTGTATTTATTTGCTTCTATCATAACCCCTCATTATAAATAAGAATTCTTTCTGTAAAATATTTCATAATCATTCTCTTTAAAATAACATTTTTAAAAAGTATCTTCATTATTTTAATACAATATGGGTCCATATTTTAACAGATTTGGGCAATTTACTATCCATTAACATACACATACTGTACCAAGGTCAAAGTTTGTGTTGTCCTTTTATTTTCTATCAATATATAAGGCCTTCATGTTTGCAGAGAGCAATAAATAACAATCGTTATTATAAAGTGTAATTGTTCTGTGTTTTTTGTTGGGCCATAACTATATTTCGATGACTGCACAAAAATGTTCAGAAACTTTTTTTACCAACCCAAATAGCACAAATACCTGCCATTGTCTAGAGAAAAATAACTTGAAACATGACAGGAAAATATATATTCCTTAATATATTTCTTCTTACACAATACATGAAATAATACATTGATGCACAAAGCAAAACAAATTACATAGTCTTCTGGGTGCACAGCATTAGTTTTTACATTGGGTGCCAACATGAAAAGGTTTGTTTAGGATTTAGCTTGAGGGAAAAGGATAGTGAAGTCAGATTGATGCTCTTGAGAGTTTCTTTGTGCTTCGTTGATGGATGTAGTAAAAATGAGTTATTGAGAATTCTAATGGTCCTAGGAATTACTGCATTTAATTTTTAGCTGATGCCTATGAAAAAGAGCACCAAGCAGCTTAATAAAGTTGAAAAACTCAGTTGGGTTCTGAACAGCCTTTAAATTGTATGGAGCTGTATCAGTTCACTTGTACAGATGAACTTCCCCAGGAATCTCTTGCAAGAGCTTTGAGTTTATTTCTTCAACTTTGGAGGAACAATGCCTTGCTCACAGAGCCACTAGCAGTTTCTGTAATTTGAGGCCTTATTCTGCATTTAAAACAGTTTATCAAGTTTAATCCAGAAAATTCTTACTATTTTTGTCGGAAAACATTTTTCATGTTATGACAAAATTTTACAAAGAAAAAAGTTTAATCATTTTGTATGTTTTTAGAAATTCTGATTTGAAGCATTATTATGAATAATTAAAATTAGTAAACTCATTCTTATTGCTTTCACTATCATATTTTGGGCTGATGTGGACTCTGTTTCCCTCAGACTTATATATAAGCACAATTTTTTAATGCATTAATCTAAATTTTTCCAGTTGAGGAAGTGGTAAAATTTAGAAAGTAAAAATAAAAAAAAATTTGATAACCTTTAAGAATTACAAGGAAATACATTTATTACTCAACATTCTAAATTAGAATTGTTCTTTTCAGCCTAACAATGATGTAAAAATAGTTTATTTTAAAGATTTTCTTATGTAACAACAAGTTCTATTGTATTGAATAATGTTGGTCAGATTGAAGAGAAGATAAAATTACATTATATCAGAATATGTTTGAAGAGCTTGCTGATCAAAACATTGCAATAAAAATAACAGATTTTAGCTATGAGTCTAGGACCTGCTTCCTTAGTTTTTATATAATCTATTTACTCACCTTTTGTTTTTTTCTCCCACTTAGGATCACCATGCCAACACTTATTCTTCTTGATGTATCACTCTCTATGAGTCGCCCTGTTAACATGCAGGAATGTTCAGAAGAATACCAGCGGCGACATCTTGCTATCCATGGAATAAATACTTTGTTGGATTATATGGCAGCCAATTGTAAACTGGAATTTACTTCTCTGGTAATTGTTATTTGGTTTTGTTTTAAGCTCATCATTTTATTTTAGATATTTGATTTTGTTTCATTCTTTAAAATTTGAGCTAATAGGCATTGTTTAGCATCCTTCATTTGCAGGGTGGTGATAGCTTCCCAAATTTTTTTTACTTTCTTTTTTTATTAATTTGGTTAATTTTTGACCAAAATGATAAAATTTTAACCATTTAAATTTAGCAAGCCATTCTTTTTAACTAATATGGCAACAGGCAAGATTATATTTTTATACTCAGAATTCTAAATTAGAGGGCATTAATTTATTTTTTCTTTTGCATCATCAGAAATTTATCATCAGTAAAGTATGTGCTTAATATGAATATTATTCTTCAGATTTAAGTGGGATTAAATAATTGATTTATATCTATTTGCTAATTTCATGTAGTTTGTGATATTTTCAAACAGTATAACTTTATTTTATAAGCATCGTTTCAGTTTCTGATGATCCCTAATATATGTCTCTAAATTTGATGTAAACTTTGCTTTTGGTTTGAAATATAAGAGATAATTTGTTAGAACTGCTTATTTATTTCAATAATACTGGGCAACAAGTATTTTACTTCTGTGATAAAAGTTCAAACTAAATCAAAGATATTGATTCTGTGTAATTGTCTGCTCCCCAGACAAAAGATGTTGAATCAAGTCTGTTGATACCAAATCTAATCTATACTCTAAATTATCCTAGCATGTCCATTTTTTTAAGATATGCAACATAGTATATTTATGTTCAAAGGAAACTCACTTGATCATTTATATCAACTTTCTCTCTCTCTTTTTTTCTCTCCCAATGGATGAAATCAAAATATGATGGTTAATTCAACTGAGGCATAAGTGACTACTGTTGATTTCTCCAAAGAGGGACTAGTTTAAGGCACAGAACAAAAGCGAGTCAAATGTTTGTAAAGATATCAGAAGTAATGTATTTTATGTTTACTGTAATTTCCTGTTTTGATCTAAATTTCCTTGAACATAAATATACTATTTACTAATATACCATTTCTAGTACTGATAGATTTATTAATATAATGTTTATCTTAAACATAAAAATGTTGTGTGTGTGTTTATCTAACAAAAGTTCATATGCTAGGGCACTTTTGAGTAAAGATTCAGAATAAGCATTCTAAATTTACTTTTGTACCACCTATTTGTCTCGATAGTAAATGAAATTTTTTTCTTTTGTAATTAATACTTTTTTTTACTTGTTGATGATTGATATCATGTGTTATTCCATGTCTCTTTAAATTATGTCACTATTTCAATAACAGGCACTTCTTTTTTTCCTTTTTTGAGCATAACTTGGTTGCCCATTGAGCTACCAGGATAAATTTGGTACCATTTACCATTATGTTTTGTCATGCTCTCTATGTCTATTATGTTTTTAGATATACTGAAAATAATTGTTAGTTTGGGATATCTATTATAAAGAAATAACTATAAAAACTTTTCTTTTTTTTTTCTTTTTAATTCATAAATTTATAAAAAATATCTGAACTATAGAACAAGAAAATTTAACTAAAGTCGAGTAACTAATTATAAATTTTGAAGAAAAAATCCATGTATAAATCCATGCATTTTCTGAGTAATTTATTTTCATTTGTTCTTGCCACAGATTCACTAAAATAGATTGAGAGAATCTGGATTTATACATGTATTTTTTATTTTTTTTCTCAAAATTTATAATTAGTTATTCATTATTACATGTTTATTTTATTTGTTTTATAGATCACAGATAATATGGTAAATAATAAATATTGGTTCACATTCAAATTGTGAAATGAAAGTTATCCTGAATGGTCACTCTTCTAGATCCTTTTGTACTAATGTAGGTGTCCCCCAGGGCTCTATCTTTGGCCTTACTTTGTTTTTTGTTTTTTAATTTTCATTATCAACCTTCCTGATGACATCAGCTCTCAACTTTGTATCTATGCTAATGACACGACCATTTACTTCTGTCTTGATAGTCTGATCAGTTTGATAATGTCAAATTAGAAGCTGATCTCAAAAACAACCTACAGTCCGTTATTAATTGGCGCAAAGAATGGCTTGTTAATTTTAACACTTCTAAAGCAAAACTACTCTCTATTAATCATTTCAGAGACCCCTTTCTGCATGGCTGATGTTAACCTCCAGGAAAGTGACTTGTTGCGTCTTCTCAAGTTAACATTCTTGGCAGACATGAAGTGGAAAGACTATATTGAATCCATTGCTAGGTCAGCTGCTAAGAAAGTTGGTTCACTGTGTCATGCTGGACAATTTTTCTCTCCAGATCTATCTTGCATATCTATAAGTCTCCCATTTGTCCATGCCTAGAATATTGCTGCCACATATGTTCCGGTGTTCCTCCTATCTATTTAGAGATTCTTGATAAAATCCAAAGACAAATGAACAATATTATTGTTCCTGATCTGGCATGTCGGCTCCAGTCACTTTTCCACTGCTGTAAAGTTGCTTCCCTGTGCCTTTTCTTTAAATACTTTCATGGTAATTATTTGGATGAGCTCTTCACTATGGTACCCAGACTTTATGAATTTAAGTGCAGTACTAGATTGGCAACAAGGTCTCATCAATTTACAGCTGAGTTGGCTAGATGTAACTATGAGTTTTATGCTAACAGTTTCTTTAATCACACTTTTTATTGTGAAACTCTCTTCTGGCTTCATGCTTTCTAATCAAAGTTCATCTTCAAAAATTTTAATGCAGTGTCAATTGTTATCTACTGTCTTCTTCATTACACTTCTGTTGTTCTCGTTTCTTAATAATGATTCTCTTTTTTTTCTTATTCTTTCACACTCAGTAACCACTTGTGTTTTAGTGGCTTTGCTGCCTTGCTTGGAGTAATTTGGTTAAAAATATTATAAAATTTTTCTTGCAAAATAAACAGTCTAATAAATAAATAGTGTTTAACATTTTTGTCAATTTTCAAGAAAAATAAATGTATAAATCTATTTTAATGTGTTTTGGATTTTATTAAAATTCTATAAATAGTGTTTTCAAAGGGAGTACAGAGTAATAGTGGTATCAAGAGAAAAACTGTCCTTTTGATAGTTTTTTTTTTTTTTAATTTTTCTTTTTTTCTTTTAGTACAATTTTAAACTTTGCTAAATTAACAATATTAGTTTCTATCCTGATTTTGTTGAAGATGATTAAAAATATGAGTTGGTGTTAACCCTGTCACATATTCATTTTGCTGCTTATTCTATGTAGCCAGTTTTAGAAAAGGCCACATTTCTGGAGCATGCAAAGAATCAATGAACTCTGTTAATTAACAGAGTTCATTGATTCTTTGCATGCTCCAGAAATGTGGCCTTTTCTAAAACTTTTGAAAAATTTACATCTAAAGTGAATTGTGATTTTCACTTTTTTTCAAAAAGGATTTAATATAATATTGTTTTCTCTAGCAAAAACCTTTTTACATTACTTTCTTTTTTGAATTGGTATAGATTGTGTTTTCCTACTTGTTTTTTTTAGCTGGTACCATTTACACGAGATCCTGATCAAATAAAGAATGCCTTAAATAAGGTGGAAGCATACAGTAAAACTTGCATTGAAACTGCTTTAAATGGGGTCAATTCTGTTATTTTGGAAGAATGGAGCATTTTCACACCTTGTCAGGTAAGTTAGATTTGGATTTTCTGTTTGGGTGGATAATTTTGGTAACAAATAAAGACTCACCAATATCAACATTAAATATACAGAATATATATATATAAAAGAGATATGCGGTTTAGCCAAAAAAACAACTTTTTTCCGGTTTCATCTTCACACCATGAAACCGATGTGAAATCTATTTGTTTACAAAAGAAATGAAGAAGAAAAAAAGGAAATATGACATGATGTCTGAAAGTGAAATCGATTTGCTTCAGTTTAAAAAAAACCCAAAAAAACTAAGCAAAATTAAGTTAACAAAATAGCAAGTAAAAATAAAAAAAATATAGTTGCCAATTTTGTCTTAATGTTAAATTTTATGAAGTCAGATTTTTTGTGAGGGCTTTTTAGTAAGCCATTATGCCAATCACAAAATAAAGTTGTAATCAAGAAAAATGAATGAAGATTATTTTTTCATAAATAAATTTGTTTTATATCTAGGGTGTGCACCTAAATTAGATATTAAGAATAATTAAAATAGTTAATTTCACTTTTAAGATTTGTATATTTCCAGATATGTGACTCTGTTTTCTACAAATAAAATTGTTTCTATCTAGCAAATACATGTAAAATTAGATATTAAAAAAATAAAATTTTAATCTCAGTTTTAAAATGAGTATATTTTCAAAACTGCAAGTCATTTTTTTTTTTTTTTTTTAACCCAAAGTAAAAATTATTTTTTTTTTTTTTAACCACTAGTGTTCAGTGGGTGTTTGTTACTATTCTGCCTATAAAATTCTTCTAAACAAGGAAAATTACATTATTTACATTATTCGGACTATTGTCCTCATCTTTGTCGCCATATTTATCACAACGTTTCGGCTGTTGTTTTAATTGCCTTCTTCAGGTGGTTGGAATGTTGAACTGAACGCCTTTATCCACTGTGCCATATGTCCTTGAGGATATGAGCACTGGTAAAAATGGTTGCTGAAGACATTAGGTTTATAATACCCAGAAATTCATCCCCAGATGTCCTCAAGGACACATGTGGATAAAGGCATTGGTTAGATCCAGTGACAGGACCCAAAGAGTGTGAGTTCAATACCCGGTTAAGGCAGTGGAGAACTTTCAGAGGGAAATTAACAGGAGATAACTGATAACTGATATCCATCAAACATGGCATGTGGAACTAGAACAGTCTACCCCGGTGAGCGAAATAAAGGGTTTAGTTTGATATTCCAACCACCTGAAGAAGGCCAGAGCGCATAATCTTCAGAAAAACGTTGTGATAAATATGGTGACAAAGATGAGGACAATAGTCCGAATAATGTAAATAATGTACAAATACCTCATCTCAGAAATATAGACAGACTCTGAAGGAAAATTAATTCATTTCATTTTTACAAATATCTTTACTTTATGGTTTTATTTGGTGAATAATACACTTAAGATTATATTAAAATGATTAAGATAGTTTTTAATTTCAGTTTTAAAATGTGTATCTAAAAAAGAACAGGTGATACTTGCAGATTTGGAAATCTACACATTCTAAAAATGAAATTAAAAGCTTTTAATTATTTTTAATATTTAATTTAAGGTGTATTCGCTAGATAAAAAACAAATTTATTTAGGGGAAAAATAACTCATTGATTTTCCTTGTTTAGATGAAATTTATTTGCAAAACCCCAATAATAGTTAACTGGCATACCAGAAAAAAATTGCCATATTTTTTTTCTTCTTTTTTTTCTTTCTTATTTTATAATTTTTGAAGGAAATTGCTTCCTTGGGTCAGAGAAGAAATGAACATCTTCCTGCTTGTAGTTTAAGTTGTCTTCTGATTGAGTGTACAATTTCAAGAATATTGATAAAGATTGGTCACTTTGATTTTGTGAAACAAAGTAATGTGTAAAATTTAGTCTTGAAAAAAAACATTTCGCATTTTCGGCTGGTCGAAGCAATACCATTTTAACTCGCTCTATAAAATAATTCAATGAATAAAAGCACATACAAAATACATATTTAGAAAGATATTATTTTCTTTCCAGACATCTGAGTATTTATAAGATTGGACGAGATATTGCGAGTTGAATGGATTAAGTATTATCAATCTCAAATGAAATCAGACATCGACTGGAAATGCTATCATTACACAAGAAAATGAATGGCTTCCTTAGGAAGCAAAAATACTAAATTGAAAAACCGAATCGAAAACCACAGTATCAAGGAAAACAAAACTGGAAACCGATACCGAAACATAAATTGCCAAACCGACCAACTCTAATATATATATATATATATATATATATATATATATAATTTTTTTTTTTTTTTTTTTTTAATAAGAAATCAAGGATAGGGAAATTTCCTCTCAGGCATCCATGATAGCCTGTTCCAGCTACTGGAGAGTGGAATATTGGTTGTTGCCAGTGAGTGTACACGTCTCTTATCATTATTCCACAAACATTTTCTATGAGATTAAAATCTAGAGACAATGTAGACTATTTCACTACAGTTGAAAAGTGATCAGTATGGTTCTAAAACTATTGTCTTGATGAAAGATTAAATTTTTCTTTACATTTACTGTATCAAGCTATATTTTAGTATCTCTTGATAGTTGCATATTGTCAGAATTCAGTTAACATCTCTGCTCATTAGTATTTGGTTTTATGATGTTTATGCAAACACAGTTTTGGTTCCACTCATACCAGTATTACTTGTGAGTTACTCACCAAGATGTTGTGAAATGATACACCTGTTTTTTGTTTGCAAAATTTCTAATACATTTGGATGAATTTATCTATAACATATACAATTTAGTTATCTAGTCCACTCAGAAATCTTCATTTTCTTGCCAGTTTATTTCTTTGTTTTACTAGAAGCATCAGGATTCCTCAAAAAGTTGTCACAGGAATTTTGTAGAAGTCTTTTATAGTATCTAAAGTGAGATCTATCATCACTCAGTTTTGCTTCCAGTAAGAATTCTTTTTCTTCTAACACATGCAAGGAATCTTTCCGCATCTTTTCAAAGGCTCTTCAGCATTACAGAAATGTATCAAATTCACAAGTCTTTTTATAATTGCTAGACACAAAGAAATGAGCCTTAATTACAAAATTGAACTCATTTTTCTATTAATCATGTAAGTAGAAGTATATTTGCAGTTCCCTTACACATAAATTATAATCTGAGCAAAAAACACATAATTCAACACTTTTTTTTTTTTTTTAATGCCATGCATGATACATGCTTGTTAGGCAATCACGTATCTTTTGATACATGACTGACGAGGCAGATTTTTTCATGCAGTAGGTTGTCATTTCTGTCTGCAGTAGACCAGTTGCCATCCAAGGCTATAGAACCCAGTCTGTTCTGTAATTTACCCATAGCTTGGGGCGGGGAAGAAGAGGAGGATTCATAACTTTCCCAAGAGTATTAGCACATACGTAAATGTAATGGATTTGACTGGAATTCGAACTTGGCTCTCTGATTCCTCAATCTGAGCCGCTATCCATTTCTCCATAGTTTTCTAGACAGGGTGTATTATACACAGAATCACTTTTATTTTGATGAAAACTAACCATTAATACAGTTTGTTTTAAAAAAATGGTATATTTTCATTATATTTAGTCAATCACATGTGGAAGTAACACATTAAAGTAACTAACACAACCAAGTTTGTGCAAATGATTTTCAGTGCTTAATTTGAATGTTTTGAAAATATTGGCTACCTCTTGTGTCATATAATGATTATTTTCAAGTAATATCTTGATCTGATCTACCCAATCATGAAATCAATAAGAAATCTCCAACATGAAACTTCACAAAACATCTTTCACATATTCAGGCATTCACAGTAGCTTCTCCATAAACTGCACAATTTTTTCCAGTTTCCTGTTCATCCTAAATTTTACTTAACTACATGTTATCCACTTTGTGTTTTCAAAGTAACATAACTCACAACTGCTGTTTAAATTAATTCACATTGTCAATTATTAGAAGTTTACTACTTTAAATAACTACGTTTTTTTTTTTTTTTTCATTCAAAGAAAATTTTGTTGGTTCTAAAAATCAGTTATTCTTGATAGCTGCATAACTCTGTTTAGACTTTGATGTGATAAAAAATAGTTAACTTTCATAAAAATTTAATTTCTGAAATTTACTCATTTCATTAATATTGTTTGCAAAAATTCAGATTTTTCACTCTTCCATAATTGAGAAATATTAAAAAATAAGACATTTTACATTTGTGCTTTGTACAGTCAAAAAAGAATTTCCCAGAAATGATTATTATTATTATTTTTTAATAACTCTCTTAATTTTATATTTTCATTTTCTTTCAACAGGTCATTTTGATAACAGATGGCTGCTCTGGAGTTGGTCCGGGTTCATTATCACATTCTCTACAAAAATATCAAAAAAGGGAATCTTCAAAAAATGGAAATGAGAAAAGTAATTTTCCTTTACCCTTCAGTGTCCCCTGTAAATTGAATGTCATGTGCATTGCACCAGCATCTGACACCAATCTGCAAATTTCTCTGTCACTCTTTCAAAAATTGATTGATATTAATGGACATGGAGGAGATATTTATATTCCAGAAGGTGCTCTTTCTATTAAATCTGTTCAGCAAATGTTTCAGAAGTTTGCTGGAGATGTCTTTTCTCCATTTGTTGTCTCATTGAATTGTGGTCACCTGAAATGTTCAGTTCAACTTTATCCACCACCTGGACCACAACATAAGTATGTTTTTTTTTTCTTCTTCTGATCATCTTATTTTATTCTTTTATTTACAATTCAGTAATTTTTTTTGTATTATTGCTTTCATGTTAACCATTTTGTTTACCTGAGTCGTGTAATGGTTGGTCAACCATTGACAAATTCACCATCTTTTTTAAATTTATTTCCAAATAACATAGAAATTATACCCTAAACAATGTTTGTAGATTTTTTTTATATTAGTTGAACTTGAGTTCATTTCATTCTTTTAAACACTTGCTTAATATATTTCCAGTATTCAAATTTCATCTCAATTAAATGGAAATTGGTATCCAGAATGATGAGTATACTGGCATGTAGACTTAAAAATTGGATTCTTAAATTTTTTTTTTCCAGAAATATCTTTCTTTTATTTGATTTATACTCTTTGAATATTTACTATTATATTTCTTACCTTTTGTAAATTGTATAAACTGTTGTTCTTTTAGGATTAGGGATTTTGAAAACATCAATGTGGATATTGGTTCAACATTAGAGATTTGTGGCTTTTTAGACATTGCTGATGTTGCTAGTCCTCCAATTATATCACGTCATCTTGTTTTGCCAACTGCCAAAGAAAAACCAAAAGAAGGTAAGTTCCACGAATTTTGTTCTTTCGGATTAGTATTTTTCCTAATTATTGATTTTTCTTTTTATAGTGAGAGGGATAGATTTTCTTGAAATCTGCTTCTTCAGAATTTTTGTTAGCATCTTTGTGGCCAATTTTTTAATACTTTCTCTGAAATTCTTGGTTTGTAAAATTGTCTAATTGTTTTCTAGTGTATCATAAATATTGGTCATTCTATGTTGTAAGAATAACTGCTTCTAATAACATTATTTTCCTTTGTGAAAAATAAGTAGTTGACCTTTAAAATTCTACATTTTATGCTATTATATTCAAGTCAGTAAAAGCAGATTTGTTATTCATTTCTTATAATGAATTGTATAAACAATCTGCTGGAATTCATAAGATCTAATAGTTTTATACATTATCCTGCTGTAGTCAGAGAATGAAGGTATCATCCTAAAGTATTTAATATAGATGTTAGTTATTACTAGTGAAAACGATAATCTTATCACAGAAGGCTTGCATAATACAGCCAATTGGAAATTTGTTGTTCTTGAGACCCCTGAATTTGGCTTAATTATGGAACTATATTAATGTTATTTTTATTTAAGAGTAAGATTAAAACAAGACTTTCACATTTCTAATTAAAAAATAGGGGTTTAGATCTAGAAACCACAGTGCAGGGAAGAGCCAAAATTCCTGAAAAGAGCTTAAATTTTGCATTTAACACATTTAGACTTCTTTTGTGTGTAGCGGGGTCATTACAAAAATTGGATTCAGCACCAAAAAAACTTAGTAATAAAGGTCTAGATCAGAATTTTCTGATAAGTACTAGGAAAGTTATGTTGAAAACTGATAGTGCCAAAACAAGTAAGGATAAACTTATCATATGTAAGAAACTGAGTACATTTTAAGTATCTTCCAGAGAACAAATTTTCTTACATTTTGTAGATTTAAATTAGTTTAATATTCTGGAATTTATACTAAAAAGGAGAAAAAATTCTGTTTCAGGAAGTTTTTATTAGTGTTATTCAAAGTTGGTGGAGGGGGAGACAAAAAAATGTGCTAATTTGATTGAATTTTGTGTTGTAGGCACCAAAATCTACTTGATAAGTCATTTTTGAAAAAGAGTTAAATCTCATAACAATCATTTCAACAACATTTCAATGACTTTCCTAGCAGAGGAGGTAGCAAAAAGCAATTATCAAGAACTGATCATCTAAAAGTAAATGATTAACCCTTTTGAGCCCTGCATTCCTGAACAATTTTAACCCTTCTGCCTGAATCATAATTTGCAAATAATTGGTATGTAATGTTACAAGCGTTTACCCACTGTTCAACTAGTGGCTGAGCATTATGTCATTTTTCTCTACCACCAGTAAAGCAGTGGTCAGGGCTCAAAGGGTTAAATGGGTGAGTTTTGATTAACTTCAAATGATCATAATTTGACAAATACTTGGAGTTAAGACAAAGCTAGACCTGTTTTAAAATCATGAGATTGTCTACTTTCAAACTAGATACAGCACCTATCACTTGGGAAATATTTAAAAATTGCCAAACATCTCATTGAAAGTCCACTGTGTTTCATAACCAGGCCTCCTTCCTGTCTATATGTATTTGTTTGGTGTATTCTGTACAAAGAATAAGTATTTAAATTCAGGTATTTCCTAGAATGTTGCTATGCTCCCTTAATGATTTAGTTCTTAGTATTAACAGCATCTTCTAAGATTGTTAGAATAGATTTGCAACATAAATGGTTAAGATAAGTATTTAGAAAACTTCTTGTCTTAATCCACTACCCAAAATCTAACCAAATGGCTAAACAGTGTGTGTGTGTGCACGCACGCGCGCACACGTATGCATAGACTTCTTGGTTAGGATGGAAATTTTTCAACCTCTTTCATAAAGAATGCAACAGTTACTGGTATGAATTTAACAAGTAAGGGAATCTGTCTATTGGCCAGTTGGAATGGAATTAACTTATCGAGTTAATGAAAAACTTAGAAAAGCAAGGTAATTTGAATTTTACTAGCATACCAGAATTACCTTGGAGTAGGTTTTCCTACTTAGAGTGGAATTCACTAGAGAAAGTGAAATTTGAACTTAAATAAGAAAACAGAAGTTTGGCTGTTCATCTAGAGCAGGAGGTTCAGGAGAAGGAGTGATGTTTCTTGATCATTTTTTACCATACATGAGATGGACAGGTAATTCATGAAGGTACAAAAAGAAAAGACTAAGATTCAGTATTGTGTCGGTAGATAGAAAATGGATGAGAAAATTATATTAATTGGTCAAGAAAATTTAGTTGATGTAACTAGAATGAACCCATCCAGATAAGACATTTTTTTCAAGCAATGGGAACTTGGGAATCTAGGTGGAGGGGGGTATGAAAAGAAAAAAATGGTTAGGCTTGCAAAATGATAAATTAGGTGTTTGTTGACAATAAAATAATCACAGCCCAGATACATAAGCAGGCCAATTTTTGCCTTTTAGCTTATTCAGGTCTGTTTGCTAAAGACACTGCAAGTTTTGATTTCACCATTTCTTGCAAAGTACTACCTGTAGAGTACTTGTCAATTGAAATTTTCCTGTTTGTAGACAGACAATCTAGCAGTAGAGTTGGAGACCATGTTTTGGAGTATTGTTGTTTTTGTGATATGTTGTAAATGATGCTGACCTAACTCACCGACCAGCTGTAGTTAGATAAACCAATAACTGTAATACCCAACAATAAACATAGTTTCTACAAGATTTGGTTGCCTGTCCTGAAAGTTGCCTCTCTTGATTTCTCTTATAATTCACTCCCTTTGTTCTTGCGGACATTTCAACCAGCCTTATTTAAGACATCCTCAGATCAAAAACTTAAATACAGTGTCTGTGGAGAAGATTGACAGCCAGAAGTAGATAAGGTTGTTACTGTCATAAGAGTTTAGTTTTGAACAAATGTTGGAAATTTTCCTGGAAGTAGACCTTATCAGAAACTGACAGAAAAGTAAGTTGAATTTTGACAGGTGAGTATTGCAATGGAATCCTTTTCTTGTGGGTCTCACAAAAGCCTTTATCTTCTGTGGAAGTGTGCTGTGTTAGTAGCTGTCTATGATGGAAATGTGATCTTTGTTCTTTACTAAAGATTTAGAAATTTTTCTGTCTTAAAGTTAAGTTTTTTTTCTTATTTTTTTAATCATGTTTTATGCTGTTTAGCTTACACCAGCATAACAAAAAATAATTTCTTAATAAGAGCATTGTTCTTCCAATCTTGTCAGTAAAATATGATTTTAGTTCCCTTTATGACTTTGTTAAATTGTGGTACCATTAATTAAGAGATGAAGAATAAAATACTAAACAATTTCTAAAGGCCATGTACTTCTGAAAAAGTTTGAAAATCTGTAAATATTTGGAAGAATTAAAATACTTTATTTTCAAACTTCAAAAATTATCTTGTAAAGCTTTAATCACTGATTAAGATTTGGCTATTGGGGAAATTCAAGTTAAATTTTCAGAGATTTCAGTATTTACATAGTGGTGTTTTATGTTGCACTCCAAGTTGTTTCTCCTTATACATATCAAAATAGTACTATCTAAGAAAAAAAGGACATTTATCAATTCGGTGAACTTAAGATAGGGTTTAAAGTTGTCTTTCATAAAAAAAAATTTCAAAGTTAAAAACCTTAATGGATAAAATACCGTAGATTCAACACTTAAAAGAAAAATGCACCATATTTATTAATCAGTTGGTTTCATGATCTGCACCTGTACAACTCAAAGTACACAAAGGTACAAAGTACTCGAGGTACAAAGAGGATATACTGTGTTCATTTTATGAAAAACCACTGGTTCCAATGCATCAAAAGTTGTATGATTAACTGTGTGAATAAAGATCGCCAGTTGAATCCCAATTAAATAGAATTATTTCATCAATGGAGATTACACAGTTTAAATCTTTTTCATATATTTTCTTTAATGATGCATTTTAAAGCTGTATCATATTTTGTCCAAACACATGCACAAATCATTTTCACCATAGTTGTTTTTATGCATTTTCTTGTGAAGATGAGACAAAGTGAAAAATGTTATTAACAATGCATTTTGCCAAAGAAGTGTATGCTCTTTGGCTCTTTCAGATTAAAATGAATGAAAGAATGACAAAACTGTAAGGAAAATGCTTTGAGATCTCTGAGGATAAGTGGGTATCATAAATCAAATGTATTATCATTTCCTGATGTCCAGACAGAGAGTGTCTGCCTGTTTATTTTATCTATTAGAGCTGTTTGGAATTCCTAGTCTGTTTGCTTCCACATACATTTATAAACACACACGTACACACACACTTTTAGTTATTTAAATTTCTCACTTATATTTATGTGTAAAATATAAATATAAAAATTAAAAAAAAATGTATCCAGTTTTCATTTTAATGGTCATTTACACTCATGGCTGGCAATATTTTCTCTATTTCTCAGGATTTGGAGATTAAATTGAAAATTTATTTACATTTTCTTTTAAAAAATGAACTGGATATATGTTTAAGCTTACTTTTGAGGTATGAGTCCATAAAAAATTGAAATGGAATTTTCAAAATGTAAACTGATTACTATTTTCTTTCTTAATGATTATTTGTTTATTAATTACATGAATTAAGTCCTTTTTCAGAAATTAAAATGAAATTGTTATATTATACATTTTATAGTTCTCCAACTTTTGAAAACATGCATTGTCTTTTTGTAATTTTTTTTTTCAAGCTGTTATAATGGCATTATGGAAAATAATAAGCATAACTTTTTTTTAAGCAGGTATCTTTCTTTTTTTTTCTCTGTATTAGTGCTTTCCATATCAGAGACCTCTACCTGGGTATTTGATAAAATTTACATTTAATTTTCTATTTAATGGATTATGAACTCAATGCCCTAAAAGGAAGTTTGCTTCTAAGTTGGAGAAGTAGGCCAAAGACCCCAAATTCCTTGTAATGTATGCTAATAGTTAAAAACTGTGATGAAGTGAATAGACATTACAGTGATATAATTTTTAATGTAATTTCATCTCCACCTCTAAAGGAACAAAGGAAGGAAGAAAAGGCATTCAGTGAATTCTTCATCACAAATGCTACAGTTATTTAACTCTAGCATTTGTGATGAAGAACCACATCAAATGACCTTCAGTTACAAGTGCTATTACTTCAACTTTTACATTGACCAAGTCATTGATATGGCATCAACATTTGTCTTTAGATGGGACTTGATATAATATCACTTTCAAGAAAAGATAGGATATAAAGTATTCCAGGAACATTGGCTTTAGCAGATAAACAAATTCAGACTGCAAATCACCATCAGGAGAGAAAATGCAGAACCATTCCAACTGACCAGAAGTCTTTTTTCATCAGTTCCAATTTTTTAGTTTAAAGATAAATGAGCTTTACAATAAGCATTTGTTTGAAGTATTCACCAATGATTCATTTCAGGAAACAAATATCTAAGTTTTGTAGTTATTATGGTCCCTTTTTGACAAATTAAAAATTGCATAATTTCACAAAATTTTCAAAAATTGAATTCATCCTGATATTAGTAAAGTTTCAGGCATGTATCTGCCAATGGATACTTTTTTTTAGGGCAAGTTCACAATGGTATACTTTTGAGTTGTTTTTGCCCTAGTGCCAAATTGTGCTTCTGGCTTTTTATATGTGGTGTAAATATAGTTTTATTGTTTTTGTTTTTTTTTTTAAATTTTATTGATGTACTGCTGGAAAAAATAGCTTCATTTCTGTTGAGCTATGAAATATACAGAAATTATTATTTCTTATTTATTATACATAAATAAACATATTTATGTGATGTAAACATATCCTTGTCTTTCATTTTTATCTTTCTTCTTTTTTTTTTTATTCAGGTGTTCTATGTGGGGTTTCTTTGTATGTGTATGTGTTCCCGAGCCTCTATTTTTTTCCTGCTCTACTCATTATCTTATGCCTATCATGTGTCTTTTGCAAATTCCTGCATCCATTTCGCTAGCACCCCCCCTCAAAATCATTCTTGATCATGACACTTGTTGTAAACATACAACACTATCCCACCCAAGATTTCCTCTGATTGGTCAATGATTTCCCCCACATTCTGTTCTTGCTCACATCACTGTACATCAAAAACTGGAAATGATCCACTGCATGCTCAAGGTAGAAAGCAAGCAACACATATCATTTCCTTATTTATATGTAAACGTTTTATTTAGGGCTTCACCTGTATGGTAGGTGACACATGAGACTTCTGCTATATTGATCTCATAGATCATCTCTTCTCCCTACTAACTCCTCACTCATCTATACATCTTTGTGTGGCTGACATCAAAAACCACATGATGGACAAATCTGTCTCCCAAGAAGAGTGGAACAGAACTGACTCCCTGATTCCTAACATGATTGTTTATAGACTAGTACTCAGAAATAATCAACATAGTTTGTTGTTGCTTGGTCTCCAGAAAACCCCATCCACTCCTTTACTTCACTGTTCCCTTTTGGTCAAGATGGATGCCAGGCATCAAAAGTACCATCTGCTAAATATATAAACAAGTAATGCTTCAGATCAAGATAAAATCACCACTTCGATGTAAGTGTCACAATTATAGTGCCATAAATATTCAGTTGAAAACAGAATATAGCCTCAATATTCACAAATTTCTTTAACTAGATTAAATTTTTATGACCCATGAAATTGCATTTGTTTTTGCTTAGAACCTTCAACAGAAAATGTTAACAACAAAGATTCCAAAGATGGAGATGAAGATGCTGTTTCATCAAATGCAGATGAATCTGGGAAAGCAACAGCTGCTGCTTCTGCCCTTGAAGGAGGAAAAGCTCCCTCCTTCAGTGTTTTACTTCATGGTAGTCTCAAAGTAGAAGGGATGGTAGCACTGACACAAGTTGGGTAAGTCATTTCTAAAAGATGATAGTGTAATAACTAATTACAAAAATGTTATTTTCTATTGCAAAATCAATTAAAAGAACATCTACCCTGTGAAAACATTTTGTATTTGATAAAATTTAAACTATACATGCAGCTTTCTTTTGAGACATTTTAAGTAGGTATTTTAACTGAAATTTAATGATTTTTAATAGTTTTGCATTCATAATAGTTTTTGCTATATTTTTATGCTTTCATAATTCTAGGCTAATTGTTCATTAAAATGGAAACCTTTTCTAAGAATGAAACACTGATGGCAAAAAAGTTTTGCTCTTAATTGTTTTAAAACATAATGCAAAATCATAAAACTAACAATTAGATTCTGTAATTTAAATTCAGTAAATATTGTAATGTAATTTTTTATGCCACAATGCAGGAAGTGATGTTTATTAACATTTTATTAGGCACTGAATATCTTGTTAATATTATTGAATCTGCTTATGGTTTTGATGTTAAGGTTTTTGTTATTTTCTCGTTACTGTGTTTGCTTATGATGCAACACTTGTTTTGTGCTGGAAAGAGTATATTAATTTCAAGAAAACACTTTTTAATATATTTTTATCAGTACAATAAGAAAATGATGACTGACTTGCAACTTTTTGCTGGGTCAACCCATGGCATGCTTTTCAGGCACTTTCCACTGGGATTGCCTCTACAGGATAAGTCAGCTCCCTGACAAATTGACCCTGGTGAGATTTGAACCTAGGTTTTATGGTCAGAAAGTGAATGTTCTAACCACTTGGCCATATATATATATATATATATATATATATACACACTGAATCTGAAAATTTAAAAAAAAATTTTTGTTGAAATTAACTTTGTCTGATTACCCCCTTCTCCTCCTCTCAGCGTCCTTTGAAAAATTGTTTGTCATATTTGTTGCTTACATGTTTTCCATAATTGTCAATGATGACCTGTTTAAGTTCTGGTTTATCATGTCATGAAAAAAAATTTCTCTACCCTAAGCTTAATTTTCTATTTAGCATAGATTTGACATTTAATTGGTTGATTTAGACAAACCCACAAGTATATTTTTAATTCTGACCATGTGTTTTCTTCAACCCCAACTTTAACAGTCACTTACCAGTCACCTGAAGAGGTACAACATAGTACTGAAACACGAAAGCAATTGTATAGTGATTTCAACATGTTTTTGTTTTAATGTCTAAAATAAAATAATATATTGCTCTACTTTGTGTTGAGCACTTTTTTAAAAAAGTAAATGCTATGAACAGTGGAATTTTACTTCATCTGTTCTTTCTCTCATTTGGATATTTTGCTCCCTTCACGTTGGAGCACTTTCTACATTTGTTTTTTACATTAACATGGAAAAAAACAATTTTGAAATCTCTTAAGAATATTCCCAATACAAACAAACTGGATTTTCTGTAAAATTAGTTCTGAAAACTGAGGATTTAATGAGATGGATGAGCTGGAAAACATATTTCTTCTTTCGTGATAATGATTTTTTGAAAGAACAAGATTTTTATGGTTTCAAAAGCTTAAAAACCGCAAAATTCATTGAACGATTATATGGTTTTGAAAATGATTTATTGGGAATCATTAATTGTATCTCTTTTCATAAATGTAAAAATCATTTTCAGACGCACCTGGACTGTGTTGTAAAAGATATTCATTCATCCAACAAAGTTTTTGTCAAATCCAACAAAACAGCCAACTTTTACAAGTTTACTCCTAAGGATTATATTTTAATAAAAAAAAAAACTAAAAATTATAGAAAAGTAGATAATAATATCATTAATTTAGTTGACAAAAGTAATGCAACAAGTAAAATTATAACCAACAAGCTCCACATCAGCCACAGAGTTAGCAAACTTTGTACTAAAGAATCCTATGTTATGATCAAGGATCATAAACCTGATTTTGAGGTTAATCTTCCCACTAGAATTATCAACCCTACCATGCCAGAAATTGGAAGGATTAGCAAGCTCATCCTTGATAGTCAACCAGCTGATTAGAAGGTGCCTTGCATGTTTACAGCGGATTAATACCCCGGATGTCATAAATTGGTTCAATAGTATAAGCAATAAAAAAAAAAAAAAAATTGTTCATTTATCCAATTTTTTGATATGGTAGACTTTTACCCATCTGTTTCAAGGGATCTTTATACTTTGGCTTTGAAGTTTGCCAGGGAGTATTCAGATCTTTCCAATAAGGAGCTTGAGATTATTATGAACTGTAGAAGATATATTATCATCCATAAGAAAGAACAGTGGATTAAGAACAATTCTGTTGATCAATTTGATATTTCCAAAGGGTCGTTAGATTCTACTGAGTCTTCCGACCTTGTTGGTTTATTTATCTTATATAATCTTACTACCTATGATAATATTAGATAAAAAAATTGATAATATAGGGTTATATAGAGATGATGGATGGCCTTATGTTAGTGAAAAATTTCACAAAAATTAAAGCTGACAAAATCAGAAAATTAATCTTAAAGATAATACATGTTGATAAAGTCTTAACCTTAAAGCTCAACACTAATTTAAAAAAAGTAGATTTCCTTGATGTTACATTAGACCTAGTTAATAATGCATGCCAATCCAATATACATCCACCCGAATTCTAACCACTCTCCATCCATAATCAAACACATAACCTCTTATATAGAATATAGGGTTAAGCAATAACTCTTCTAATGAAGATGTCTTTTAAAAGCATAGTAAAGTTTACAACAATGCCTTAAAAAATAGTGGCTATAGGTTCACTGACATCAAATATATAAAACATAACATCAGTAATTGTAGGAATAAGTACAGAAACTGGAAAATCATTTGGTACACACCCCCATTTAACCAAATGGTTAGTACCATGTTTGTGCAGAAGTTCCTCCATTTTAATTGATAAACTCTTTCCCAGAAATAATCCACTCTGTAAAATTCTTAATAGAAATACACTAAAACTAAGCTATAGCTGTACAGATAATCTTGAAAAAATTATTAAAAACATAAAATGTTAAACCAATACAAAAATCTAAGTAATAATAGACATTCCAAAGCAACAAACACTGATAATACCAACAAGTGTAATTGTAGAAATTCTAACGAATGCCCATTACAAAACCAAGGTCAAACTGACTCTCTTGTTTACCTTAGCACTATTTCTACTATTGAAAATCCAAGTTAAAGAATTTTATATTGGGAGTGCCAAGAATTCTTTTAAAACTAGGTGGTATCAACATGTATTATCTTTCACCAAAAATGCTTACAAAATTATGACGTCCCTTTCTAAATATTTTTGGAACTTATAAGAAGTTAATAAGACCCCTATGGTAAAATGGAAAATACTAAAAAAAAAAAAAGTTAGAACCTGTAAATCTTTAAATGAACCTTGTTTCTTATGCTTACATGAAAAATTATAAATTATCCAATTTGCTGACAAAAAAATCTCTGCTAAACCAAAGAAGTGATTTAACTGTAAATTGCCAACAGTTTATCTTTTACTTTACAATATAGTTAATTTTTCTAAAATTAGGTAATTCCATTTTTTTATGGCCATAATTTATAAGGAAATAATAGTCCACCCTCTACAAGTAATTATCTTATTTTGTTAATTCAGATTTAGTATTGCTATGTACTGTCATCCAGTTAGTATTATTTATATCTTATATAGATGTTCCATATTTTTAATTTTATCTATTGATCCCTTTAAGAAGCTTCCTGAATCTGAAAATTAAAAAAAATTTTTTTTTTGCTGAAATTAACTATGTCTGATTATCCTCCTTCCCCTCCCGACAGCATCCTTTGAAAAATTGAACATGTCATATTTGTCTACAATCACAATACATTTCTTGCTTACATGTTTTCCATAATTGTCAATGATGACCTAAGTTCTGGTTTATCATGTCATGAAAAAAAATAACTTTTCCATCCTGAGCTTAATTTTCTATTTAGCATAGATTTGACATTTAATTGGTTAATCTGGACAAACCCACAAGTATATTTTTAATTCTGATCATGTGTTTTATTAACCCCCCCCACTTTATCTTTCAGAAAAGAGGTAACATTTTGCTTTTGAAATTTTTTAAAAATTATTTAATCAAGTCACTTATCTTTTGCTTGAAGAGGTACATAGTACCAAAACATGAAAGCTATTGTGTAGTGATTTCAATGTTTTTGTTTTAATATCTAAAATAAAATAATATATTGCTTTACTTTGTATTGAGCACTTAAAAAAGTAAATGCTATGAACAGTGGAATTTTACTTCATCTGTCCTTTCTCTCATCTCATATATATAAGAAAATGAAATATGGAGGAGAAAAGCAAATAAAAATACCAGAATTTTTTGCTCTTCTATATTTAATTTTCTGAGGACGCTAAAAATGTTAAATTTATAAACCGAGTTTAGCAGGCTACTGAAATAGTTTTTTTTTTTTTTTTTTCACAGAGATAATTGGTATGGTATTTTATATTCCTGGGCAGACAGCAAAAAGAAATCCAATTTGATGTTATCTTTGTTTGAACCGGGTAAGAAAAAATAATTTAGTTATATTTACTATTCAGCAGTTATCCTTGTCATTTTACTTTCAATCAACTCCTGTTTACTTGTATGATGTTGAGACTTTCTGTTTTGCCTTAAAACAACAGCAAAAGTTTAGTTATTAGCCATTCCCAATAAACTAATTTTACCTCCTTTTTGTTTTCCAAATGAATACTATATTAATTTTTCTGGAAATGTAATTATTGTATCTCAAAGTAGTAGATTTAACAAATTAAGTGACATGAAGTCGAAGTGTAGCATTAGTCAGTCACTAAGCTTGCCTTCCTCCTACGTTATTCTCAGTGACGAGTTATATAGGCTTTCTCTTGCACTTATGCAAATTAGGCATATTAATTTGCCAGTGTCACTACATCTCCCTGAAATGTATAGGTTTTATACCTCTAGTAGTTTTTGTACTTCTTCTCTTGATAGTTTCATTACTTTGCTCTACTTCTCTCTCTCCCGTATTTCTTTCTCTGGGAGACCTAGATCTATCCTGTGCTAAGCTGTAATCATAGGCATCTTCTTGCATTATTTGATCTTTGTCTGAACTTTCAAACTCATTTTGGCCCACTTGATCCTGCATTATTTCGTCTTCTGATGTTTCATTCTGTAACGGTTGTTTTAATAAATCATTAACGGATGGAATCGTAGACATTTCTTCATCATTTTGCTCTTCATATTCACCCTGGGTCCTTATTTGATCTGCATGGGCTAATACACTGTTGCCGTTTTCTCTATTTATTATAGCTGTATTGTGGCCTTTTTGCATGATAAATTCTGCCCTTTCCAGATTTGCTTCTTTGTTCTTTTTGTACCACATTCTTTCATTTGTGGAATACGACAACGTTAGCGGTGCTCTAATTTGTCTTCCCATTAAAGCTGATGGGCTTTCTAGTCTTCCAGCATGTGGTATTGTGCGATAGCTTAAAAGCAGCCTCAGTAGAAAAACTTCTACTTTTTTCTTTGCTGAGAGCATGCTTTTAGTCCCGTTTTTATGGTCTGCACCATTCTTTCCGCTAACCCATTCGACTGAGGGTGTTATGGGGGTGTCTTATATGGTTTACATCCTATTTTTTCTAACCATAAATTAGATCTTCTTCATCACAAAATTCTGGTGCGTTGTCAGATACCAGGGTTTTTGGTATGCCGTTTCTGGAAAATATGACCCTTAGAATCTTTTATCGTAGAACTTTTCTTGTCTGGCACCCAGATTATTGCAGGCCAGCCTGAAAAAGAGTCTACTAGAATTAATAAGAGTCCCACTCCAGTAATATATGCATGATCCATATGCACCCGACTCCATGGCTCCACTTCTCTGGGCCACGAATGTAAAGTAGTCTGTGTAAAGTTTCTTACATTTTTTGCACCTTTTTATATATTCTTCGACATCTCTTGAATATCCCGGCCACCATGCTTCTAATTTTATCTTTTTTTGTGTGGCCGCTACTCCACAGTGTATATCATCATGTACACTTTTTATTACCAATTTTCTGGGGGAACTACCAGATCCCCATTACAAATCACTCCATGTTCTATCGTTAATTTCTGTCTTATTTCTTTGTAGGGTCTTTCCGCCCTAGAACAATTTCCCCATGAGTTTTTTCTTATTCTTGATATTATCCTACTTAGTACTGGATCATGTCTAGTTTCTGCAGCCATTCTATCTAAAGACAAAACATCAGTCTCTACCCAATGTAAGAATGCATCTTCAAATTCTTCTTCTGTTTTATCTTTTGACTCCTTGTAAAATCACAATCTTGATAGTGCATCTACATGTGGAATTGAATTCCCTTTGACATATTCTATATCAAAGTCAAATGCCATTAATCTTATTGCCCATCTTAGTATCCTCGATGTCGTGACTTTGGGTAATTCTTTCCTTGGGTTAAATATAAACTCTAATGGTCTATGATCACTTCTTAATAGAAATTTTTTGCCAATTAAAAATTGTCAGGCTCTAGTAGTTGTCCGCACAATAGCCAATGCTTCTTTATCTATATTTGAATAATTAAATTCGGTGTTCATTAGTTTTCTTGATAAATACATTATCGGATGTCCTTGTGATAATATTCCCGATATCGAATGTTCGCTTGCATCTGTGGTTAACGTAATGTCCTTTTTTGGATCAAACATTTTCACTTCTGGTTTCTTTGGCCATAATTACTTTTAATCTATCAAAAGCTTTTTTTGTTCCTCTGACCAAATAAATTCAACATTCTTTTTTCTTAAATTTGCAAACGGTTCAGTCAAGTCCGTGTATTTTGGTAAATATCACCTGTAAAATTGACCAATCCCAAAAAGACTCCAGTTCTTTTTTTATTTGTAGGTGTAGCTACCTTTAGTATTTTTTTCTATCAAGGCTTGGTCTGGTGATATACCTTCTTTTGAAATGGAATAACCTAAAAAAAGATTTTTTGTTACAATTGCTTATGCATTTTTTCTCATTTATTGTCATTCCAGCATTTCTTAATCTATTCAAGATTGTCAGTTTTCTTTTTTAATTCATTTTCATTAGTAGCTCCTATGCATATATCGTCTTGGTAACAAATCATATTTTTCATATTTTCTAAAACCTGTTCGATGGCCCTTTGAAATATGGCGCTTGCGGTTTTTATTCCATATGGCATCCTTTTCCATCTTAGTAACCTTATTGGCGTATTTATCGTGGTTACTTCTTTGAAGTTATTGTCTATTGGTATTTGGTGGTATGCCGTTTTTAAATCTATTTTTGTAAAAATGCTCATTCCTGCCAGGACATGTAATGCAACTTCAACATTTGGTATAGGATATGAATCTGAACAAACTTTGTGATTTACACCTATTTTGTAATCTCCACAAATAAGTAAATCACCATCTGTCTTCCTCAAAACTACAATGGGTGATGTCCACTTGCTACCCCCAGGGGGAACATGTTCAATAAGGTCTTGTTCTATTAATTTTCATAGTTTTGTTACTACTAATGGCAACAAATGCACTGGTAATTTTTGTGTCTCATAATAAGAGGGGAAGACATTTTCTTTTAATTTTAAACTCGCTTTATAGTTTTTAACTTTCCGTTTTTTTCCATTTTTATCTCATTAATTAATTTGGTAGAATTTATGTTAAGCACGTCATTTCCAAGAAGTCCATGGTTCTTTTTACAACTTGTGACAATTATAGGTATTACTTCAAATTTATCTTCTAACTCCAAGGAACCTTCAAAGTATCCTAGTTTTTATGACCGACCCATCAAATTGGCGGAGTTGTAAACTGCTCTTTTGTAAAAGTGGTTTTCCAATGCGTTCCCAAAACTTTTTTGATATCAGCGTTACTTCACTCCCAGTATCCATTTGCATATCTAAATTGCAGTTGTTGATTTTAACCTTTAGTATAATGTCTTTTCTTTTGTTCAATTTTTTCTATATTCTTATTTTTTAATGTGAAGACTTCCATATTGGTTTCATTTTCTTCAACTCTTTCAACGTTTTTCTTTTTGAATTTGCATACTGCTTGAAAGTGGTTCTTTTTAAAGCAATTTGTACAGGTTTTTCCAAACGCTTGGCATTTTTCCCTTTTTATTTCGTGTTCACGTCCACAATACGAACATTTTCTTATCATTTTTAACATGTACGTATCAGCGAATATTTGTTCACTGGGTTGACTTTTATGATGGTTGTATTTCTGTATTAATTCTTGTTGCTGTATAAAGTCAATGCATGTATTTAAAGACATATTTCCTATTTGTAATTGTTTCATTATTTTATATTGGTGTGATGCATTGCACATACCTTCAATTAATCTTAATTGAATCAAGTCCTCTTCAATAGTCTGTTCGTCTTGTCAGAGCTTTTCAAATTTGCATTTTGTAAACAGTGTAGATATTTTATAATTGGTTCCTCAATTTCTTGTTTCATCAACATGGACTTCATTCTTTCTGCCACTACAAGCCTTTTCTTGGGTGTCCTATTTCTGCTTATAATCTGACATTTTTTTTCGAAAGTCAGGTCTTCCAAGTTTGTGGGATATGCCATGGTGGAGACTTTCATTACCACCTCGCATCCAGCTGTAGCCAAAAATAAATCCGTCTTTATTTTGTCTTTCATCTTTTTATTTCTTGCACTGGCAGAAAAACAGCGAATCCATGCATCCACAAAATCTGAATCTTCTAGAGACAAATGGGATCCTATTGGCGTTGCCATTGATGTGAAGTCGAAGTGTAGCATTAGTCAGTTGCTAAGCTTGCCTTCCTCCTACGTTATTCTCAGTGACGAGTTACATAGGCTTTCTCTTGCACTTATGCAAATTAGGCATATTAATTTGCCAGTATCACTACATTAAGTAATGTGTATTGCTTAATGAGAACAGACCCTGACACTTCATCTCATTGCTGTAACTAATTTAACTAAAAATTTATATAAAATTATATAGAAATTTTGAAAGTTCTGGTGCCTTGATCAAATTCCATATTATTTATCTATTAAAGGTTTACTATTGTGATATTATCTGCATAGCTGAATTTCCTAGTATACCAATAAAATATATTCAATGTATAATCTCATTCCTTCCTAACCCAACTAGTTCTGAGTGTATCATTAGGGCAGGTCAATTTTGGAACTCTGGTATTGGCACTCATTTTCAAAGTTGGAGTTTGACATGATAAATAACAAAATATTTTTTTTTTCAAAATTGTAGTGTTGGAATTTAATTCCGCTGATCAATGAAAGCCATAGCACAGCCTTAAATTTATAATTTACTGAAGATTTACAAATTGTATATGGACAAGATGTGTGGCACAAGGCATTATTACTAAATCATTGAGCCATCAAATAAGACAGTCTTTACTTCAAAGGGAAATTATACTGAACAATTTAGCTATATAATGTAATATGTTATAGAGTGCAGTAGTTTTAGTTTGATTTTTTTTTTTTTTAATAAGCAATGCAAATTTAAAACATTTTATCTTATAATTGGTGCCACTTTTATCTATTTTTTTTATTTATTATTATCTAACAAATCTTATTCATCAAGTAGCCTTTTTTGTAATCTTTTACAATTTTTACTTCTCAAATGCAGTAAAAAAAAATTGCATATTTTACTTGTGGTGATTCTTAATTACAATTTTGGTTTGAATATATTTTCCATTCATTGTATCTAATACAAAAGATATCAACTTTATTTGGACTTGTTCTTGAAATCGTAAAATTTTGAAGTCAGTTCGTAAACAATAACCTGCAAAGATTGGTAAAAGCTATGAATCTAATTTTTGGTGTCGGTACTTATCACATCAAACCCCAGCTTTTGCAGAGAGTGCAATGTTGACTTTCTAAAAAAAAAAAAAAAAAAAAATTCAATATAAATTGTATTTTTACAAGCATTTATTTTGATAATTACTCTCTTCTTTCAATCTACTAATGGATAATTTACTTGATATATTGCATCCCAAAACTTCCTATTCCTTTTTAGTAAATGTATTCATAAGTTTTGACTATATTTTATATAGTAATCTCCCCAATACAATTTACCGGACTCTAAATGTAACTAAAAAAAATTTTGTAATTTGAAAATAAATTTTCAGAAACTATAAAGTGCTCTAACTGAACATCTTTTTACATTTATTTTCAGGAGAAAATAGTCTCAGCTGGCTTGGAAATTTTAAATATTTAGCTTCCATCTATGAATTTGGTGATGAATCACCATATGGTTCAGATGACACTAAATCACCTTTTCCTATCCGACCAACAGAAAAGCGCAGCTATGCTCAAAGTTGTGTAGTTTGGATCAAAACTTCTGGTTTGCAGGTACAGCTTACTAGTTCAGACCTTTATACTACCTTCATATTATAAATTGCATTTCCCACTCTCTTAGACTGATTAACTTCTTACTAACCTTTCTTTTACCAGGCTGATCTTCAGAAAGTTTTGCGTCATGCTCGCAAGTTACCAGATAAGCAGCAGCAATTTTATAAGGTTTGTTTCTTTTACATTTGCTCAATTCAATTTTGCTATATAATAAAAATAATTTCTTAAATTGTCTACTTTAATTTGTGATTTTTTTTTTATTTATTTTTAAATGATTAAAATGTGTTTGACTAGTTTTATTATACTTTTCATGCCAATGAATCTTAAAACTAGAAAAACATTCTTCTGATATTTCTTTTCTTTATAGGAATTGAACAGATTACGCAGGGCTGCACTTTCCTTTGGTTTTTTGGAATTGCTTGATGCAATGGCTTTGATGCTTGAGCGTGAATGTACTCTGCTACCCGGTACCGCTCACCCAGATGCTGCTCTCCAGTTGTCCCATGCAGCCAACAGTCTGCGCTCGGAAATGGCCAAGGATGTGTCTCAAACTATTGTGCCATTACGCACCAATTTCAGTAGTGATGACTGAATCTTAACTAAATCTATTTCTGCTTATTCCATTTCAAAAAAAAAAAGAAAACCAAAAAGACTTTCATGGGGGATTCATGTTCACATATAACATTAATAAAGATCTTTGTAATAATTGTCTATTTAAATTAATGCCTTAATTCAGAGACTGTATTTTTAGGTATGCTTCATTTCTCTTATCTAAACAAGTTTGTCAAGCTTTGAACAGAGCTCATATTGACAGGAAACAAAAGGCTTGCAGAATATTTTTTTTTTTTATTTCAGTTAAAAATGAAAATATTAAATGTTGCCCCCTTTTAATTCTTGTTCATAAAATTTCAAACACTATTATATCTCCAACCTTGAAGATCAGGTTTTCATGACTATCAATTAGCATTCCAAATGAAATAGAATATTAACTCAAATTCTTTATCCCTAATTTTACTTAAAATATCAAAGTTCTTCAATGAAGGAATACTCAATTGATCATGGGTTTTGGAAATAATCAATTGTACACACACACAAAAAATAGTTGGACAGCTAAGGTTTATTGATTTTGTTTATCACTTTCTCATACTAAACATAAAATGGCTTCTTTCAAAATAGAATAAAAATATACCAGTATTATAATTATCCATTTTTTTTTAACATTCTTACTTTGATTTACAAGATCAGTAACTACCATTACACACACAGGATGGACCAATAAATTCACACAGGCATTTAAAAAAAAAAAAAAAAAAAATTATTATAAAAGGATAATGCATTGCGTCATTGATTTAAAGTTGCCTAAGAGCTGTTTGAGAAACATCTCAGGGCTTATTGATAGTGTAATCACCGCAATCTTTTAACCTCCATACAAAAACAAATGGTGTATCAAAAGTTTTTCCTTTGACACCAGTTTTATTTTAACTACCTTCACTACTCAGCATATTTTTTTTTTGTTTTAAAGTGATTAGAATTTTAATAAAACCTAAACATATGATGAAAGTGAATTTATACATATTCTTTATTTTTGTTAATTCTCAAAAATAAACTATTAGATAATTTATAGTTTATTCGAATTCTTTGCAAAACATCCATTAATTGCAAACAAATTCAAACATTTTATAAAATAAGGATTTCCATGATGGTTCACATATTTTAATTATTAAATGATAAATATTGCATTAGTTTTAATACTATTGTATTAGTTTTTTAGAATGTTGTAAATATAAAATTATTCTTGTAATCAATCTACTAAAGTGCCCAATATTTTTGTTGTCAATTCTCAAGAACAAAGAAAATGTATAAATTCACTTTCAAACCTAAATATGAAAGTGAATTTGTACATTTTCTTTGTTCTTCCAAGAGATTTTATATAAAGATCCCTCCACCATCTAGACCTGGTTTCGTCAGTAGGAATTTTAGCAAACAAGCTCGGCGTTGAAGCTCACCATCTGAACATTTACATAGTGTGTGGTGTGACTTTATTTACTAGGTATCACCATGAAAGAAAGAAAAATCTTAATTTAAAGGTCTTTGTGTTTTAATTTTGGCACAGTCTGTCACTGCACCTACATTATTGATTAAAAATGAAAACAGAAAATAAAATATTAAAAAAAAAAAAAAAAAAAAAATTTTGAACTTTCAATATTTGTTCTATGTTTCAAATAAGTCAATTTAAGAATTGACTTTCCATAGAAGTAAAAAAAAAAAAAAAAAAAAATTTAAACTGTTCACATGAAAATGACATTAAACTTTACTTTTTTTTATTATTATTCAAATATCTTTATTTAAAATAAGATCTTGTTGCAAATAGCAACTGAATAAATTTCAAAATTGCTTTGAAAGTAAATCTTAAAAATAAAATAGTCCACATAGTCACTTTCCTGTTAAATTTGAGAGGAAAGAATGTTTTATCAAATTATATAAGCACCAAGTAGTGATAAAAATATTTTTAGTAAGTATCAGGACAAATTTAGTAACTTTTTACTTTACAGATTTTCTTTATAAGAAAAAAAAAAAAAAATTAGTCAATCATCCTAAAAACATCTATCTCAAGTACCTATTTTTAACATCTATAAAAGGAGGGTGTAGTAAACAATTTTTAAATAATGTAGTGGTAACATTTTATTCTTATTTGGTATATTAAAAAATATTCTTGTTTATTCCCATATTTATTATCTGTCCTTTTAGAGGACATATATATATATATATATATATATATATATATATAAAAACTAGTCTTATTTACACTTAGACTATATGCTTTAATCCACTAGAAAATGGCCCAGTGGATTAAAGTATTGGATAATTGTGAGCTCAGTTCCTCAATACAAACTTAGACTCAGTGGGAACAGGGCAAGCAATAACTGAGCAATACTAAATTAGAAATATAGAACATGGTTAGCTGAACAAGAAAAATCTACCCCCACAGATTAAATAAAAAGTTAGATTCAAGTTACTGATGAAGGCCAATGGTCACAGTGGCTGAAATGTTGTGATAAAAATAAAGACATGGACAATAGTCAGTGTGAATAATGATAATAATTCCTCATTTCATATATTCAGACAAAACCAGTGTTCATTTATAACCTAAAAATGAGATTAGCACAAAGATATTGTAATCTGAATGTATCCCATTTTCCTTTCTGATATACATACAAATTAAAGCAATACATTCACTAGCAATGTGCTGCACATAGTGGTATCACTATTTACATTTAGTAATGCAGTAATAACTAAAACAAACCATTTATTAATTAGTAGAAAAAAATGTAATAGATTGAAAACTTTGGTTTTGATAAAGGAAATATGAAATGAAGTAGTTCCTTATCAACTAGTAGATGCACCAAGATAAAAACTGAAGGTTATATTAATATTAAATTTAAGTTATATAGCTGAGATTATTAGAGAAAGGGGCAGAATTATCTTCTTTGCCTATTCATTTGCAATGGTAAAAATGCAAATTAGTAATTAAAACAGTTGTATATGTAAATTAAAATTTACAAAAAAAAAAAAAAAAAAAAACACAGAAAAAAAGTTTAGGTATAGATATCACTGAAGTCAAGGTTTATATGGCACAAATAAAACCTAAAATTTTACATGCTTGTTTTCTTCCATTTCATATCCCATCAATAAATTAAAACAGAAATAGGGAAAAGAAATATACTTGTTTCTTCTAGCCTGCCACTAAGTAATATGTTCAATTTTTATTTTTAAATCAGTTACTTAACTTCTCTTTATCAACTAGCAATAGAGTCGCTGTATATAACCATAGAATTTTAGAAAAATAACATTGACAACTTAAAGAAATGAAAGAAGAATCATTAAATTTGTTAAAAGGTTTCTCTTTAAGTTAAGGAAGAGCAGAGAGGGAAAATAATGAGCAGATAGAAAAGTTAAAAATTTTTTTTATTGACAGCCTTTGTGTAAGTATTTATATCTTTCCCAACCTCAAACAGGAAGAATATTCCAATGTCATATTGTAGCAGTGAGTGAAGCCAAAGCTCCTAAGCCAAGTGCTGTCATATACAGTGTCCTCTTAATTTTAGCTTCATAATTATGACTTTGGAAATTGTCTGCGAAAGAATCCTGAAAAATAAATAAGATATAAGTAAATAAAAAAAAGAGCAAAATGGGAAGGGGATGTGAAATTTGAAGTTAGAGAAAATGTTGATTATATTATATTGCAGCTTGAGATTTAATTGTCAATAGAAAGGTAAAGAGTTCAAAGACATTTCATTATTCATCTGTTACTAATTATTAAATGGCTATACCCCCCCACCAAACCTACCTGATAAATATTTACAAGCCTTATTTTTAAAGTAAATTAAAACATCTGCAAACAATTGCATTTATACACAGTAAAATCTTCATCTTCAAAATTCCAACTTATGTCATTCAAACAAATACGAAGCACACACAAAAAAGAAAAAAAAATTATCAAAATCTTTTGTTATTAAGATCAAAAGAATTTTTGATTTAAAAAATTTTTTCTGGCACCAACTCCTTGGGGGGGGGGGGCTCAATTTTCTTTGTATAGAAGGAATTGTGTATTTTTAATTATATATATATATATATATATATATATATATATATATATACATACATACATACATACAAACATACATACACATACTTTTAAAATTGCTACTTGAATTTATTAATGAAAAGATTTCTTTAATCTTCTAAAATTGAAACCAGCCACTGGTTTGGCTCTATAGATTTTCACAACTTAAAATGAAAGTTTTATTATTTCCTTGTAAAAATATTTAGAAGCTGAAAAATTACAGAGTATGGGGAGAATATGCTAAATTTCAACATGAAAATAATTTCAACTCTTGAATTTAGTATTGAAAATATTGGATTTGATTCTAATGCAAAAGGAATTTATTTTTATTCTACTCAATTTATGGAAAAGATCTTTATTTGTTAGTTTGGAAAATAATCTCCAATTTTAGAATCAACTTATTTCTGAATTAATGTATTCAGTGTTTAAATTAGTCAAAATAGGAACCCTGATCAGTGAACATCTATACATTTCAGTCATTGAGTTACAAGGATCTTTACAACAAATCTTTGAATTAAATTTCATTGCAAAGATTTGTTTTTTGGCTTAAAAAATGTCAAGATAATTGGAGAAAAAAAAAAAAGGTAGTCACTGGGCAAGATTAGAGGCAGATGTAACAAAGTTTTGTATCTTAAGTTGGTGAGCTTCTGTAAGTGTCATCCTGGAAACAGGTGATTAATTAACCATTGCTGGTCACATTTTGCTTAATTAAATGTGCTTTTCACTCAGTTGCTGGCAATAGACTTAGGCAGTGATGCTTTGGTTAGATTCCAGAAAGCTGTACTGAATAAAGACAAAGTCAATGGTGGATCATCAGACAGCATAGTCAAATGTTTGCACAATTTCGGATTTGGGCCCATTGTCATGATCAAGCCATTACACTGATTGTTTATGATTGTCATAAACTAGGATCCATTTCCCATCACAAGTCACTATTCAATCAAGAAATAAATCATTTGAATTTTGCA